TTGCTGTTTATTTTGGTTTCCAGTTTATATTCCCTTTCTTTTCTTTCTTCCTCTGCTCCTCTGACCTCCAGATACTGAGCAGTACCAACCATCTAGGAATAAAAGGAAGCAATCAAGCCAGAGAGGACAGACTATATACCGTATTAGAGAAGATGTCTTCTTGTCACAGGCTACTTGAACTCTTTTGGCAAGGAATTTAGCTAAGAAAAGAATATTTGCTCGCCTAGAAACTATTACAAATTCATTAACTGAAATATCTAGGGGAAGCTCCTTTTGCTGGCACGTAAGTGGCCTGATCCATTTCTCTCTAGCCTCCTTATACTGCAGACATTTAAATAGAACATGCTTCAGAGTTTCTTTGGTCCCTAAGACACAACTGCATTATGTATCGAAAATGGTATACCTAACAGTAGATGGTAACGCATTCCATCTTGCAGAGATTGCAGACAGTAGCACATTTCATCTTGTGAGCATAATTGCTCAGCTGTGTCTTGGAACTGCGAAGTTAGAAAAGTATTCTGGGATAGTGAAGGGTGGTGGGATTCCCATATGGAGAGTAGAGAAAATGTGGCCCTTTACATTTCTGTTACATTGGTACATTACATCAAGCTCACCATCTGTAAGGGTAGTTACGTTCCTGGCTGCCACTGGAAATCCTACTCTCTCTCACTATGGGGATTACAGGGCTGGGAAGGGAAGTGTTGCTCATTAACCAGTTTGCATTAAAGTTTGCTGGAGGCAGAAAAGCTGTAGATACATGAGAGACAATAAGATCATCTGTAAGTGTAGTTACATTCCTGGCTGCCACTGGAAATCCTACTCTCCCTCAATATGGGGATTACAGGGTTGTGGGGGGGAAGTGTTGCTCATTAACCAGTTTGCATTAAAGTTTGCTGGAGGCAGAAAAAAAATTAGACAAAGAGCTCATACGGGAAAGAAAAGGGGGGAAGAAACCACGGCATCAGGGTAGGTACTCCGAAGGTTGAGGGTAACAAACTTAAAAGTATAACAAAGTATTTATTACACAGTGTAACAATTAAAAAATAAGAC